AATTGGAAATTGCAGCCTTTTAAATTGAAATGGAATATCGGCGGGAATTACTGGGATTCGAGGGATTAGCACGTTATCACCCTTTCCTACGCCGATTAAAATAGTGGCACTAATTATGTTTCGTCCAAGTTGTGTGACGCGAAGTCTTGTTCCGTTACATAATCGAGGAGCATCTAAGTTTCGCATAAGCATAACTGGAACGCCTAATTTTAATTGAAGCTTATGCGAGGGTACACCTGACAGCTCAAGTGAATTCAAAAATTCTACGGGGTAAGAAGTGCTCTGTTCTGTGTCCATAACTGTATCTACTGACAAATACTCAACTGTTTCTCCTGTTATTTGACTCAATATTAGTGATGTGCCGGATATCCGTATTCGTATCCGCGGATAACCGAGGCAGAAGAAAGATCCATATCCGTGTCCGTATCCGTTACTTTTTGGGGGATCTTTTACGGATCTATTTACCTTATTAATTTTAAATTTATAGATAAAATTCTTTAAGATGCAGGGTAAGGCGCACTAGCGACGCCAATTGCCGAGATTCTGACGGTACACAATTATTTGAAATAGATCTGGTTTAGTAGCTAACAATTTAAAGCAATTGGCGTTGCTAGTGCGCCTTACTCTTTGCCTTAAATAGGTGTTTAGGTAGCAATAAAAAACTATTAAATTCAATACAGATATTCTTTTATTTCTTAAAATCAAATATTTGGCTCCTTTATGTTGCAAACTTTGCCGTAGATAGTTATCATACCAATAGTATATAACTACAAGGTACTAAATCAACTAGCTTTTTATTGAGATCAATATTATAAAAAATTATAAAATCACTTCTTTTTCATTTTAAATCAATCAATTTTTTTTAAACTCATGTACCAATACCAAACACAAGCGTTATCTATGCTGCCCAGTGTCACATTAAACTAAAACTAAACAAAAAAAAAACCGCCGCGCAATGCGTCGAAACATGTCTCAACTCAAGATCGCGCGCACCGACACCGATTGTGTAAGAAAGTTAAGATCCGTATCCGTATCTGCGGATCTTGACACCAAATATCTGTATTCAGATCCGTATCCGCGGATCTACATTTTTGACGATCCGGCACATCACTACTCAATATGTCTGTATTTATTTTTTTAAAAACATCGTTTCTTGGAGCCAATTTCGCCCTTTGACATAGCCATTGATCTTCCAGAATATTATTTTGTAAATTTGGATAAACTTTAGTAATCAGTTCAGAGTCAGTCTGGACTAAATTACAAAAATCTTCTGTAAGTGTCACATAGCGCTCAACGTCGCTTTCCAACCGCCCATTTCCAATTTTCAATACAGGTACCTTGGTAAATCGTATTTCTTTAAAATCAATCAAGGTAGGTAGGTACCTACTGCTTGCTGTTGCTTACCTGCTGAAATAGTAAGCACTCAACACCACCACGTTGATTCTTCTCTAATAGCACAGATAACAGAATACTATTAAAAACAATAAATATAAAAAAGTAATGTTCATGAATAGTGCCATCCGAAAAACCTCAGATTTTTAGTGCAAGTAAACTCGATTTTAATGACGGGTAACGACATCTCTTCAGTTTTACACGCAACAGCTTGGTTTTCGAATTGTTATTCGAGTTGGTAGCGCCTACCTCTACTCAACATCCAGGATCAATCTTCACTTGAAAATTATTGAATAATACTCGATTAAGGGACTAAAATAAATCATAACAGCTGTTTATTTAGTATCTGTCTACTGTAAACAGCTGATTATTTAATATCTATTTAATGTTTATAAGATTTTCTGGTAAGATATTAGGACACTGAAGGAAGTCGGTTTTTTTTACTAATATTGTTTTTATTAAAATATCTACCTACACCACGTTAAAATTAACAATAAATATAAAAGTCTTGTTCATAAATAGCGCGATCTGAAAAAACGCAATATCACAACTCGCATATTAGCAATTTAAAATACTCATTTTAAAGACGGGTGGTGCCATCTGTTAAGTTACTCAGAAAATATTATTTCAAAAGAGACTACTCGGTTGAGTTGGTATTCGAGATGGTAGCGCCATCTCTATATTATAAGCAACATCCAGAATCTATAATCACTCGAAAATGATATTTTTATATTATAAATTTAGAGTAGTGTTTGCTAGATTTAATTTTAAAAATGAGATTAGAAAGAAATTGCGTAAAGTTACCTCGATTTAATAAATGAAACACTAACACAAAATACTCGGTATTGAACACGAGTGGTGCCATCTCGTATTATGTTAAGATAGCAACTTCCACATTTCAAATTTAATCTGTCTTCGTGCGCCATCTCTATCGGGACCAACCGTGAAGATGTTTAATTTAGTTGAAAATTATGTTAATTCGAATACATAAATTAAAAAAAAGTAGCCTATAGCAGTCTCATAAGTTCAAGCTATACATATACCAAATTTCATCACAATCGGTTCAGCGGTTTAGGCGTGAAGAGAAGACAAACAAACAAACAAACACACTTTCCCATTTATAATATTAGTATGGATAATCATACATACAGACTAGGGAATGAAGAGCCAGATCAAAAATTGAAACCCGGGATTTCCGGGACTACCTGTAAAAGGAACTCCTGGAACTTTCGGTATTTTTGCAACTTACATATTTTTTTTAATCTGTGCGTGATTCAATGAAAGATCCGTATATATGCTGGTCAACAACTTCAAGTGTAGTTTACCATTTTTAACTGATGTAGGTACACATATTTTAGTCTAATCCACATTCATATCTGTTTGGGAAGCACTACTAATATCTTCGAGCAATGTATTCAGATTTATCAAGGTCTCAGTCATAAAAACTACATCATTTTCGAAACGAAGACATAAGAAGTTGATGTTGATGCCAAATTCTTTCTATCCCAGTAGCTTAAAAATATCCTCCAATACAACATTGTCAATAGTTTTGGGGATGTTTAATATCCATGCTTTAAACTTTGTTGCAGTTAGATAGGATTAGAGATCTAGTTCTCTGACATAGTAGCATTTTTGTAAAAATACCTTTACACTTTGATATGCCTATAGTCTACTTATCACCTTTGGAGGGTTTAAATGAATCGAAGGCGTTCTCAAAGTCCACAAACGCAAGGCAATCAAACAGATTATAATCTACAGTTTTTTGTATTATCTGCCGCTGTATGTGGTCTATGCTAGGTACTGAAACCTTTTTGAAACCCGGCTTGTTTTTGGGGGTAGGTAGTCTTCAAACCTGTGCACGAGACGATTCCATAAGAATCCTTAAATCAAAGTATGTAACAAATTCCCCTCAGGAAGCTCAGCCACAGAGCAAATACGCCCTTGAGTTTACTGCGAAGTAAATATGTTCGGAAGTGATATGTTCCTTGTCGGAACATGTGTAAATATGGTAGTTTTTGGTGGGAACCATTGATTTTTGTTTGGCGGTCGCAGACTGGATTTCATCCATCCTAAGAAGTTTTTTTAAATATCACTACCACCCTCATACACTATCACCCTCTGAGAAGAACTGGCGGCGATACAAAATATGATGTTAAACAAAGATGGCGGAGTTCTAGAACAATTTACGGGATTCCTACCTTGTACGCTGTTAGCGAGTCTAGCGAGTCCCCGATATTATCGTTTCGCGGTCCTGTAAGTGTTGTCTGTTGAGAACAGTTTCGAGTGAAAAGTGGTACAGGTATCGAACACAATAAGACTTCGTTGGATGGTAGACCGATATGTCTGCCAACATGTCGTGCCGTCTTTGACCTATTGGAGGCCCCTGGGCATATTAGGATAATGGGGCCCTTATGACTTCCGTTTGGTGATTTAACAGGAACTAGGGACTTTGTATTTGATCTGAGGGGGCCCCCTATCGATCGCGGGGCCCTGGGCACTTGCTCCAAGTGCCCACTGGGAAAGACGGGTCTGTCTGCCAATAACATCCTACCCGCAATTACTTCAGTTACTCCGTGATCGTGGCGCTTGCACATTGCATAAATATTGGGAACCCGTTAAATACAAGGTACATGGCAAAATAAATAATGTTAGTGACCATGAAAGTTTAAAACAATATATTGCGGCGTCAGTTCTTATTTTCACCATATTCATAAAATCATTGTCACACTATAATACGATATATCTTTTCTTTATTTTTTAAGGGCTTAAATACAGTCCGTTTGCTTATTTTTTATATATTTTGGTGTGACACTGCCATCTAAAAAAGCGTAACTAAGTAAAAACCTCATTTTATTCTAGATGCCTCTATACCAAACTATAAACGTATTTTTATAAAAAAAATAGTTTTGTGAAAACAACAGCACCCGAAGAGACAGAAACATCAATACCTTTTTTATCTTATAGTTTTTATTATTCTGTTATTTGCACCTGCAAATTTTCTTTTATTGTTATTATTTTAGATATGTTCAAGATTTATAGACGCAGTAAATAATTTATTCATCTTCTTATTTAAATCTGTCTTTTACTTTCGCACGTATACGATTTATAGTATTGATAAATAGTTCACTGATTGAAAGTAGGATGTAAATTTCGAGTATATTTAAAGCTGCAAAAGCGCAGCATCGGGCGGTTGCCCGGGTCGCTACCCTACACATATCACCCACACTAGACACTGTTTATAGAGGTTAGATACCCGCTTGTACCAAGCTCATGTAGCAATACTACTTAAGCACTTCATGATGACACGCTCCAAAACGTCGTCATACATCCTTTCAACACATTGACGTGTACAATCAAATCGTGGCTTACCTTCCCCACACGCCTCAACTTTGGTGACTTCAAACTAAAATTTAGTAATGCAGCTCTAGTGCAAGTGTTCTAACCTACCCTCTAAGTCTGTTACTGCAGCCTTAAGTACAATTACGGTAACTAAGTTGTGCGGCGAAACAGAGCTTCTTAGGTGTTGTGGAGATAAATTGACTATGCATCTTGGTCTATATAATTTTAAATTAAGTTAAAGAATAACATAGCAATGATAATGTTTTAAGGATTGATGTTCGAGAAAACGACAACAATAAATTGGAAGTTCATACAATCAATGAAGATTCTGGTTCAAATGGTAGGAATACCTTTAATACCTTTTTTTGACAATTCATCATTATCAGAGGCATGAAGAAATGATGCAGTGACGCCACTGGGAGATGCTACTCGTGCCAATATTTACTGATTTTCATGCAATATCTAGAATTAGCAGCGCCCATTATAATGACACGTTGCGTTATACTTAATACACATGCACTAGTTATAACTGAAGCGTTATAGACGTAAGTTTACTGTGCTGCAGTCGAGTGGTTGCAGTGTTTTATTATGGTAGCACGCCTGCAGTGCTTTTTCAAGCCTCTAAACAGCACCTCTATATTATAGAATAGCTTTTGTGGTCTAATATTAAAATGCATTATGTTTTAAATAAAGGATTGTAATAATTGTATGTACATTGTAGGTAATTTCATTCACTATAATGCATCTTATTTTAGATCTTTTATTTGTAAGACATTTTTATATTTATCATTTTGATTATTAATTATTATTCTGTAAATGTTATCATTGATAGTTCAAAATTATATCGTACACACAGATTTGATTCTGAAAATATGACGTATTTTAATTAATTATTTGTTATAAATCATTTTAGCTGAAAATCAGAAAGATAACGAACAACCTAGCACAAGTAAATATAACGACGAAGACAAGACTTCAGGTGAGGATGTTAAACCTTCTCAAATTCCATCTCGTAACAGAGCTTCTGTGGATACTGTCGTTTTAGACAATTGCTATGACACTGTTGAGGATGTTTTACGAGATCTGGAATCTCCAAGTGATACAAATGCTAGGGATGTCAGTCCAAAGACACAAAGTAAATCTATAAGAGATTTGATTACATACTCCGAACCACTGACGCCCATGTTACAAGAAGTTTTGCATGATTTTGCTACAGACGAGGAAACTGATAGTGAAGAACCGAAAATGCATATAGTAGAAAATGAACCTGAAGCAGAGGTACAGAAACATATTTCTCCTCGCAAAGTACCAGAAGCGAATGATGTTAACGATAACACTAATGAAAACGAAGAAAATGTCACTGGATATGCGCAAGATGTAGATGAGGCAGAGAATTTTGTTGAACCGAAAGTAAAATCTCTACGGCTAAGAAAACGTCAAGGTGTATATGTACCTGTGAATGATGTAAAACCAACACAAAATGCATCTGGTGACGAATCGGCGAGATCTAAAAACAACAAAGCTGATTCAAAGTTACCCTTGGTAGAAGTTTCTGAACCATCAATTATTTTATCAAGTGGTATTAATGATAAAACTGTAGATACGCTAGTGAAATCTCATGTCCAGTCTTCTCAAAACTGTTCAAGTAGTACTACCGATACAGTTCTACCTAATAACCAAGAAGCACTAAATGATAAAAAGTTGCCAGAGACAAAGAATACCAGTAATGAAATATCTGATGATGCAAATAAAATGCTTGGGAAAAGGGCTACTTCTAACGACATACTTACGAATGCTAACTTACTGAAAGCAAATGATAGCAAAACCACTCAAAAACAGATATCTGCATCTGATACAGATGTTAATTCTATAAAAACTGCTGGCACCAACGCTAAACATGATGAATCAGCTAAAAACCAGATTAATGAACAACAAGTAACAAAAGAAACTTTTGAAACAAATACAGCAAATGAGACACGTCTGCCCCCAAATAAGCTTCTTACCACTGACGATAAAATTTTGAATACATCCACACAACCCTCGCAAGTAAATCCATGCTTACAAAGTATGAGTTTATTTGCTGATCAATTTAACAATTATCTTGAATCAGAATCCAGTGGCAGTGACGTAAACCCTGAAGATAAACCCAAACAACCGCTAGAAATAACAAAAACAATTAATAACAATAAAGTTGATGAGGTAGTTATATTAAAATCTCATTCAGACACAGATAGTGACAGAACTAAAAGAAAAATTAAGAAGAATACTACTAATAGTAAAGTATTCTCCAAAGCGAAAAGAGATAAGGCTTTAGCTAATGTGTTTGGATTCTCAAGTGGTAAGTTTTAAAGTGCCAATGGAATGACTCTCAAAAAGAGTTCACCGTGAAAGCAATTGGCATAATATCTATTTATCAATATAAAAAAATATAGAACATTTGTAAATATGGGATTACTTGTATTTATTTATTATAATTGGTGTCTTTTCTAAATTGCATGAGTAATGGCTTTTAATGGCGGATTACCTTTCCTGGTAATTATAATTTGGATTTGAGTAAATAATTTAAATAAAAATATTTTGATTTAAGGTGCAGTCTCTTCAAAACGTAAAAAAAAGTTGTCGAGTTTTCGGAGAATATCTGCCGCACACCATTGCAATGGGTTTGTGAGAACTTGTTATTTATTAATACTGGTTTATGCGAGTATTCGTAAGAAACAAAACTGCTAAATGAATTCTTCGTGCGAAAGCATTTGTTTGGTAGAAATAAGAATAATTTATTTTATAGCCTAACTAGCTGATTCGGCGAACTTCGTGTCGCCTTCGCCTAGCAATCGATGAATGTGGTTAATTTGAGGTAAAAGGTTATAGTGAGTCAAACTTAAAATATGGACATATTATTATGCTATCGCGGACTTTCACAAAGCCCTTGTAAAGGGCGAAAATTCCGTCATACATGATTTTCGCGAAACTTTAAAAATTTACGCAGTGCTGGTGTGCACTGCGGAAGCTCTCAAATGGGATATTTTTCCCCCGTTTTCGCAACATTTTTTGTGGATACTCCGCTCCTACTGGGCGTAGCGTGATGTTATATGAAATGAAATGAAATGTCATTTATTCAGTCTAGGCTGTTACAAGCACTTGTGAAGGTCAAGAAGCTACGTCATCGGTTCGCAAAACTACGGCGGGTGACCTTGTACTGAGAAGAACCGGCAAGAAACTCAGCAAGGGCTGTTTTTTTCTCCCTGTATTGTTAATATTGTTATATACAGTGTCGTCAAGTTGAAAAATTACTTCAGAAATACGTCTGAAGTCATTTTCCATTACATCATTTCGAATATAAATATATAGTTACAATTAATTTTATAGTTAACATTATATTTAGTATATAGGAAGCGGCATTAGATAGGTACAATATTACTGTTATGAAAAATGACTAATACCCATTTAATATCAAATTATAAGAAAAAATATGTCTATGCATTACGATCATTTAGATAATCATCAACTTTATAATAGCCCATATTCATAAGAGTATTTTTGATCTGAGATTTAAATTTAGTCAGTGGAAGCTCAATATAGCCTATAGCCTTCCTGAACAAGACGTGGTACCCGAGATTAGCGCATTCAAACAAACAAACAGCTTTATAATATTTGTATAGATTTATGAAGAGCCTACTGACACTATTCTGGATAATTCGATTTTATTTCGATATAATATTTTTTCTGGATTCCACCATCACTGTACATCAGGTGAGGAGGAGTCATTTGTCGGACCTAGTTATCAAAAAATGTAGGCCTATATCTTCCAGTGGATTAAAAAAGTGATACTCAATTAGAATACGCGCAAAAGTATTTGATATGTTATAAGGTGAAATTAAAAAGGATTATATTATATTTGTGTACAGGAAAAACTTCAGTTCAGAATCCAGCGAATGGACTTCTGAAAGTGATAGCGACTATGTGTCGCCTCCCCGAGACCGTAGAAATAGCAGAACAGCAAGGAAATATTTGTAAGTGTAATTAGATAAGTGCTATAAATGCTCCAATCCCTAAGTAATTGAAGCATCAAACAAGCTGTTGGTGCTTATATAATTTTATTATTCCCTTCTTTTTAGAGTTCTGTACCCAAAGGGTAAAAACGGAATCCAATTGCTGACACTCTGTCTGCCATGTCAAGGGACTCTAGATCGTAAATGGTTACAAAACTGAAATTTTCGTATTTTATGTATAATGTTTGCCCAAAGCCAAATAAGTTAGTAAAACCCGTTTAAGACGATTTCTCAGAGACTCAATCAAAAACGCGTCTTAAGCGGGAAAGCGTATTATGCGGGATTGCGGGATAGGGAAATTTCGCATGTAGTTATTGAGGTATTAAATGTACAATATTTAAGAATTATGCATGTCATAAAAAATGTAGTGTTTTATTATTTATTATTACGTTATTTAAATTGATAACTTCTTTTAGTTTGTCAAAAGATTTTGAGGGATTAGCAATACAAGATTTTCAACATAATTTAACTTTTGCAGTGCGTCTTTGCTTTGATTCAAAGAAGTTACATAGCGTCTCAAATCATTAACTGCTGATAATGCCTGGGCGTGTGACAAAATCGGAGTTGACTCATCTTCTTCTTGATCATTATCACTTAGGGTCTCTGCTTGTGTGCCATTTACATTCTCATTGAATTTTATGCTGCCGCAAGAGGTAATATGTGTGGTACGTGTTGGCGATTTAGGCGTATTAAGCGGGATGACGAATCGTATTAAGCGTTAAGAATTTTATGAAAACATGTCTTTATTTGCAGGGACTGACGCAAAATGGCGTATTATGCTAGAAATCGTATTAAGCGTGATCGTATTAAACGGGTTCTACACATAGTTAAAATTTAATTTTTGATGGGGGTCGCATACTCCCATACGATGATGATGATATGAGATGTTTTTTTTAGCCTAGTATGTGGCACACCATGGCACACCATTGTCTAGAGCACTCATTGAGTGAGATATAAATATATTTTTTATATTTTGAATATCAAGGAACATAGCTGATTCATAACGTACTTTGTAAGTTGTGACGAAAACAAACAAGCCAGACTCGTACTTAGCCAGTTTTCACCTACCAACATAAAGGATATAAATATCGAAAGTGCAATTAAACTGGCGTCCACCTGCTTTTCGGCTTTTTTAGCCGAAAAGCATGGATGGCACTAAGGTCCTATTGATCCTAGCTAGCCGTAGTTCAAAAATCGATGGAAGGGAAAAATCGCATTAAATGGCTGCAATAAAATATTGAAAAGTTCCCGAAGAAACTCAGCGCAGGTGAGGCGCTGCTGTCGCGCGTATATCCACACTGTATATCTAGGGGAATTTCTGACTACGAACTCGCGTATTTGGCACGGTAATAATATCATACAGTATTCTATCTTCATACAAACGGTCGGAAAGCGAGTCATACCTACGCCACTCGAGTTCGAGGCACTCTCGGCGGGCACCCAGTCGCGAATGCGCCGCCGCGCCGCAACGACGACCGAACGATGTGAATTGTTGAAGTGAAACTTTTTATCGGCGTTGGAAAAAAATTTACCGTCACATTTTTTTCGGTTACGCGTCACGTTTTTTGGTTACGTGCCATCTTTTTTTTAAAAGAGCACTATTTACCTCATCCGAACAATTGCTTCTTCTGTGAACTTTTAAAAAAAAAAGTATCGACAGCAAATATTCGTGTTTCACACAAGGTAAGGTAAGGTGTAGTTATACCCCTTTAGTGGGTGAGTTTTTGAAAAATCTTAGCGCACGCCTATATATATATTTCTGGAAAGTTGCATGTAAGTAGATCATTTTTCGAAAAAAATAAGGCCATAAAGAAGTTTCACTTCTTACGTGTGTACACTAGTACACGCACACATTTTTTTTTTATGCAGTTAGCCGTGTTTAAACGTGCGTTTTGTATTGTAAATATTTGATTGAATTAAGTAGATACCTACATAATTTAGTATGGAAAAGAACAAACGACGATCAATATCGTACAACAGCACAATTGCTGTTTTTGGTAGCTTGAACTCTTCAATAATACATCCAGAGATATCATTTTTTAAATTACCTGAAATATTGGAAAGGTGTCTTACCATTATAGAATATTTTTTATATACCTATCTACTAGTAGGTACGTAATTTGTTTCTAATATTTAGGTATTTCGATTTTTCCATCGGGCAAAATATCTGGAATAATATATAAATAAGTGGTTAGGATAAAAAAGAGACAAACGAGTAATCTACCTACACTCGCGTTAAAAACAAAACTACATAAAATACTGTAGGCGGGCGGCCCTACCGCGTGCTAACGCAGCGCTTGGCCGTAGGCATTTATTTCAAGGACAGGGCGGAGTCACAATACTGTATAGATAATATTATTACCGTGTATTTGGCGTCCACATTTGCGACGTTGCCAGGTCGCTCAAGAAATCTGAGACAATAGCTCAAATAATATATACCGTCTTCGGTCACGTACGTGTTGCATAATATTCGGCGCTCGGCTTAAGTTTTATTAAAAATACAATATACAAACAAATAATTTTGTACCAGTGAAAATATTGAATGGAATGAATGGATCGAACTAATGGAAAGAAGTTATTTTAATAAATACTTTGTTCATAAATAGATAACAATCCATACTAATAATATATAGTGTGTCTGTCTGTTACCTTTTCACGCTTAAACTGATATACCGATTTAGATCAAATTTAGCAGTTTCAGACCCGAAGAAGAACATAAGATAATTTTGTCTCAAAAATCATCTCCCAAAAGGATAAAAAAGGAGGGTAGAACTTTGTATAGGGTCTATATCCGCTAAACCGATTTAAATCAAATTTGGTATGAAGATATTATGACATAGGATAGTTTTTATTCACGAAATCATCCTCTAAGGGTGTAAAAAGGGGTGGAAGTTTCTACAACCACTATACCGATTGTGATGATCTATTGGTACCGGTAGAGGTATGTTATTTGGTATTCACAAACCAACGTAAAGCTTTGTTACTTTGTACAGACTCCCAATAGTTTTATACGATAATTAATAGCCATAACCATATACGGACGCCGAATAGCTGTATACGGACGCCGAATAACTGAATACGGACGCCGAATAGCTGTATACGGACGCCCAGTAGCTGTATACGGACGCCCAGTAGCTGTAAACGGACGCTCAATAGCCATAATATATACGGACGCCCAATAGCTGTATACGAACGTTCAATAGCCATATACGGACGACCAATAGCCATATCATTTACGGATCCCCAATAGCAGTGTACGGACGTTCAATAGCCATATCATATACGAACTCTCAATAGCTGTATTCGAATGTTCAATAGCCGATCGATGACGATCTTGATTGCAGGCATACGGTTCTATTCGAGGCGGTTCTATATAGCTGCAAGCTCAACTGTAAGATAAAAGCACTGTTCCCAGTAAATTATTCATTTCATTATTAACTATCATTTTATTAATGTAAATGTGAAATTTCGAATATATAGGTATAGATAGATATAACTTTTTCTTATAATATATAGGAAAAACAAAACACAGGAGATAACAAATACATCAACAATGTTATAATGAGCGGTCTTATCGCTAAGAGCGATTTCTTTCAGATAACAAGACGTTTGGAAAGGTTGATAGGATAATAAGTTCAATTAATTTCATTAATTAAGCTGCAGACACCAGCAGAAGGTAGGTTGCATCATTACTCCCAGATTTTTACAGTAAAACTGAATGAAATATCAGACCCACCAATTGTATTTTAGGAAGTGTAGTGAAGTCAATTTTTGCTTAAAATTGTGAACTACTTACAACTGTGCTCATTCTAACATAACAGACATTTTAACAAAATTAATTGGATAATTATAAGGTAGTTACTCGTTCGTGTATACATATTAAAGCACATTGGGCATCTGTCTATCTATAGACCTAACGAATGTCGGAACAATTTAAACGTTGAAACTGTGTACTACAGAAAAGCGATAGGAAAAGAAAGAGATAATAAACAGAAAGCTGTCAGCGTAGCACTCCCAAATACAGTCCATCCTGTGAGGATGTTAAATAATCGATGCAATAGGTAAATTACGATCAATATAACTAGGATGCATATAATGTATCACCATGGTTGGGGGGTCAATAATGTTGCAGCATGACAGCAAGACGAATATCGCGAAAAATAAAATTATCGGAAAACCACGTATCCCAAGGAGCTGGAAATCAAAAAACTAAGCATTATTCAATAAGACATGTTAAATAAAATAAGTGGAACTGGGGGACGTCATAATGATGCACGACGTGCATGACGCCAAAAAGATTTTAGGATGAATATATATATTTATTATGTATACATTATCATAAATTCTATTATGTTTTGAATTTTAGAAAACCAAAATCAGCTCGCATTCATTCCCTTGAAGAAGAAGGAGGTCTCTTTGTTATGTACGGAAAGAAAATATACCCACTAGTCAAAGACGGAAAGACGATAAAAAATTACGCCATTTATTCGCCTGACAGTGAGTGCACTTATATTAATACAGACTAAAAACTGTATTAGCATGAAAGTTAAGGATGGATTGAATTGATCAGTTATTATATAAGTAAATTCATTATAAATATATAAGTACTTATTCATTCTTTCTAGGTGACCCAGATGAAGAAGAAAATTATTGGAAAATGAAATATGTCGAGGAAAGAAAACGCGTAGAGGAATTGAAAAAGTATATTCTCTCTGTTCAACTAACTGAAATTCCACTAAATATGTTTACAAAATATATGAATGTTTATTAATAATATGATTCAATTCACAGATTTATAACCAAATCTCAAAGAGACATTGAACGGGCACCGTCGCCGTTACCTACAAATTCTTCAAGGTATTTTAAGAATGGATAGTAACTTATTATATATAATATAAGACTTATACCTTTATACACCGTGAATTTTGAGTTACCTTAGTTTTTTACTAGCTAATTCACACAAAAAAAAAACAATATATCTCCATGCTTACTCAATAAATTTGCTAATAAAATATTCTTTAAAAATAAATGAAACTTTAATTTTAATCATTACAAATAAATTTATTCAAATAAAACTACTTTTTGCATCTACGTACTCTGAATGGATAATAATTCCATTAAAAGTATGTTATTTACAAGAATATCCCGTTTTACCTTTACAGTTTACTGTTTATAACTGTTCTCAATATTTTTGTTTACATGATTTTTAAGAAAAAATCACGGTGTATATCAAGCTTTAAGTATTTTTTCTCTTACACAGTAATAATATTAGGGTAAGAAATACTAAATTTTTACAAAAGCATAAACATTTTTCAGGAATCGTGCCACCTCACCAATTCGACGTTCTCCACCCGAAATCGTAATTAGTAGCGATAATGGTAAGATTTGTACGCAAACTGAAGTTTTTTTTATCGTTTCTACTACGTACGTATTAGTAGGTCTATGTAACTTTTGGTGGGAAACATCATACAATAGGAATATCAAAATGAAAATATTTATATTTTTATCAATAGTAACCTTAATTACTTTAATTAAAACACGTGGTGGTTTCTTATTAAGGTTACTATTGGTGTCGATTCTGGCTTGATTCTTTAAAATTTTAGGGTTTAGAGTCGAAACCCTAAAATAAATTTTGACAACAGTGTATCCTTGTTATTCTTTAAACAGAATAAGGAGAGACTGATATTAAATTAAGTAGTTTAGAGAATCATGCCAGAATGGACACCATTGATAAAAACATCCATCATATCACATAGTATATATTTTACAGACAAAGAAGTAGTTCCTAAAGAAACGGTTGAAAAGAAAGAACCAGTTGCTGAATCAAAAAACAAAACTCTCAAAATTACTTTTGCCAAAAATAACCAGGTAAATTAAGTATATATCTACCTAACTGAACCTTACCAAATCTGATAAAAGTAACATTTCATAAAAAAATTACAATTGTTTTTGTGATAACTATTGATTGGCCTTCGCCAAGTTTGATACAAGATAAATGTCTTCTCCCAGTCATGTTTTATTATTCTAATGTTACCTCCTGTCTCTAGGAAGTACATTTAGAAGGGCACTGGTCACAATTACACCCAGTACTTGCAGATGTCGTGGAAATCTTCCACAAAGATACAGACGCTCCAAAGGAACCCACTGTCAAAAGCTCTGTACCGAACCCACCAGTGGAATTGGTCAGAGAGAAATCTCCTCTTGTTCTTACTCCAATTGATGAAGGTAAGAAATTCATACGTATTCAAGCTGATTGTTGCTGTTCTATTCATAGTGGTCTAAAAAATTAGTCATAATTTTGTTTACTTATTTGAGATCGATCTTGCATTGCAGATATCCGCGAAAAAGTGAATAAGTTAGAAACTGAAATCTTCAAAGAAATTGAGCAGAGAGATCAACAAGAACACGCTGACACAAAGGAACAGACTGAAAACAATGTTACTAAAAGGTATTGTTACTTATTTAATAATGCTTCTCATTTTTGGTTTAGCTTAGGAAATTTTAGGGAATCTTTCTATCTATAAATTTATACTTGCTATAATACAATGTAGGAAAAACAAAATCATCAGCAGCGAACTTTCTGAACTTGATAAATGATAACTAAGGGCAAGGCAACCAAAAATAGAGTAAACAATTTAACCGAACATTGCAGATTGTAATTGCTAACATTTATGTTCCACCAGAAAAAGGCCGAATAAATTATCGACCAATTCATCTGATGCATCTAATTCTCCAAAAGTCTCTCCAAGCTCATCTCGTGTATCGAAACGAGCGAAAATTCCCAAAAAGACTGAAGAAATAATCCCCACAATAGATAGAGAAATGACAGATAAAGAAGCAGATAGTAAAGAGATTATGAATAATAATATTGGAGACGAGATAGAGAAAGGCATAAAGACGCCGTTGCCTGACCAAAAAAGCAGCAAAACTAGTGTTGCTAGTATAAAAAAGCAAACTCCCAAAAAGGAAACTAGAACAAAAGGTAAGGCAGTCTTAAATACACAATATGTGAGTCATAAGATGAGTCGACATTTTGGATTCGTTTCCTTATTTGCGACATTTAAAAAGAACTGTAAAAAATAATCGAAGAAGACTATTATTTTTTTTTTAATTTTGTAAAAATAGTTCTTGAATCTACCCTCATTAGGGTAATTGTAAATTAATGCCTAAACTCAAATTGCAATAAAGCGGCAAACAACACGAAATAGTTGATTAAGCGATGATGTTTCCTAATATTTCTTTATCACGGTACAAAAAAAAATTTTACAGAAACGCCAAATCTGTCAGTAGCCACAAAGGACAACAGGAAAAGGCCTAGAAGGTCCAAACCTCTCGATGCTGTTAACGCAATGAAAAAATCGATAACCGCTGATGACGAATCAGAAATCCGTTATATGCTGCCACCTACGAAGAAAGCTTCAGGAAAGGCATCCATTAGCATCGGGAAGGCAAACAAATCGACCAAGCATTAGTGAGTATAGTGCTTCCAGCTAAGACTATTGTCAATCTGTACACAGATCAATAAACTAATAGAATATTAATAAAATTATCAAATTGAATCTGACTTGTTAGACTTAAGATAATGAAAATCAATAAATTTTCATTAAGCTATTTTTTATAGCTAGATCATCTCTGTATTTTCTTTATTATGTTTTCATAGTTTGGTAACAAATCTTTAGTATTCCAGTTCATTTATTTCATCAAGAACGGTAATATAAAATAATCTATTGTGAAAATCACTAGTAATACTTTTGTTGAAAATCGTAACAATTGTTACTTTTATACATTATTTAGTTAATTATTTCTTATTTTAAATATACAGGAGATTAAGCACGGTGTTATTTTTACGAAGCTGAAATTTTAAAAACAAGCACACTAATTTTTGTTTAACTTGGAATCACTCCTTTTCTAAAATAAAATACTGAATAGTTTACGAGATTTTACAATTTTCCATTTGCCTTTTTTTCTTCCGATTATTATAATAATGATGCGATTATGTTTAATGTTGTTAGTTTCATAAAATATGGGTCTATTTTAATATTGTTAAAAATAAATGAATTTGAGTTGACATTCTTGATACTTTAAAAACTGAGTGAATGTCTTTTCGAGCAGCAGTTAAAGATGCTAAAAATAATTTTCCGAATAAATTAAGTGTTGTACACTGCGTATGTAAAGCATGGGAGCAGGTGGTGTAGATATTAAGAAAATAAATATTATTTTTCCAAAAACAAATGTGTATTATTTTAGTTAGTAGTTACATAAAACAAAAATCTAGTAAGTTAATAATTCATTTCAATAAGCATGTTATTTAAAATGAATTATTAATTTATAAAATATTTTCATACTGGTAATTATAGTCCTTCAGACGTGAATAACACTTGAATTTATTAAATGCATGTAATTGTAACTTTTTGAACCTGCTTCCATAACTTCAGCACAACAGATAATTTGAAGCGGCAGTGCGGCGGTACACAAAAATTTAGATGCGGTAAAATATACGCCTTCGTTATATTTTTTTTCCATTTGTCGCGCGATAAATACAAGCCTCCCGCCCATAGGCGTGTTATTATCGGATGCGTTAAAAGTGATATTTGCATACTTCTATTACTTCGTTATTATCGCAGTAGTGTGTAACTTTATAGCCGATTTCGAACATTATGTTCTAAAAATGAATAATTTGAATTACATAGTTCTGTCGTTATGAATTATCGTGCTGCGTGTCTATAGTCGAAATATATAATCGTGTCTCGACGATAGCTAGTCTGGCGATAACTTGACATGTTAAAAGAGGTGGGAGACGATACATTGTATGTGCAGCTGAAGGAGCGTACCTAATTCAGAGTTCTAACGCTAAGTTTTAGCGCATTTGGTACCAAGGCCACCAGAAGCTTCGTCGCGCAGTTGTGGAAGGAACATGTTAACAACGATCGATTTTTTTTCTATTTTCGGGAGAAAAGCACGTTCGCTCGAACAAAAATGGTAGAAAAATATTACACAACCCATCATGGTACTTGACACGAACGATTTAATGAAAAATTAACTGTTTATAGTACAATATGTTATTTATATAATACCCTCAAAGCTCCGAGAAATTTTCAAGTCGGCCGTATACGAGACAATACAGCGATTTTCGGTTCGGCCGAGATCTCGCCATATCTTGACTGGTCTGAAGGTATCTGCTGGGATGCGCAGTAAGTACACAATGGTGTCGCTTCTGGCATGATTTTCTAAACTTAACTTAAATTTGACAACAGTGTATAGGTACTTGTCACGCTCTATACAGCATGAAAAAAAGAGACTGATGACAACAATGCTGTCAATTCCGGCACGATTCTCTAAACTTAAAACTAAATTTAACATCAGTCTCTCGTTCTCATTCTGTAAAGAGAATGACTAGGATACACTGTTGTCAAATTTAAGTTTAGGTTTAGAGAACCCTGCAAGAATTGACACCATTAGCATTCTAAAAAATCTTGCTAACTTTAGACCATAGAGCAACACGGCCGATGCGGCCAGGAGAGGGGTAGGCACACACAGGTTTTACACACTACCAAATATAACCGATATATATGTGTGCAGGATTTGGCGGTGTATTGTGCAGTCATTGTTTAATGAGTGTCGTCGAGTGTTTTTACGGATCTAGGGTAAAGAGCATTTATGTCTGGGTATTTCCCCCTCTCCCCGTGCGCAAAAAATGGCAGAATGATTTGAACAGTACCTATTATGTCGCTGTGGCTTCTCCCTTCCGTGTTGCTCTTTGTTTTAGACCGGCCGGGATATGTCGGCCGAACTATATTATTGCGCTATAAGAACAAGTAAAATATAATCGCCTATTTCTGATTCTTGACAGAGGTCGCTGAGTAACTTTAACAAGTTTCAATACCTAATTACAATAGTCTTCTTTAATGTACTCTTGCATGGAGGACACTCACCATCCTGAATCACCTCATTGAATAATTGATCAAGCGGCTTGATCAATTATTCAATAGGCTTGATCGTGTCGTCGTGTAGCCAAACTGTATGTCAATAACATTTTTTTATATCTTTATGTTCAATATACTGCCGCTGAAACATATCTTTTGTGTCGACATTACGCATGTTATTTGTCGCTTTGATTTTTATTGTCATGCACTTTAGCTTCTGCTGAATTAAGTTGCTTCGTACTGGAATGGTCCTCACGTTCTCAATCATTTTAATCGAACACCTTTTATGACAGTGTTTAGTATTTGTTGCTTTACCGATTTTAATACCCAACACTCATTCACAGTATAAAAATAAACAATTTGATGGTTAAATATTTTATTTTATTGAAGTGGGTGGCTTTCATTTTCAACAAAAACTCAATGTTCACATACTTTAATAAAATTAATAATATCCTCACATATTTTATTTCATATTAATTAATTGTCAAAAAAATATTGAGTTGCTTGACTAACATTGCTTTACCATTATTTACATTTGTATATTAGCATTTTTGTTTTTATAGCTGTTTCTTTTGTTCTCTGTCGCAGCTCAATACGTATTCCAAGCACATTGTCACCTCCACATCTGTCACAGAACTCGGATAGTACTCAAGGTTATCTGGATTCCGACGTTAGTCCAACTAAACTATGGAGCAGGAAAAAACGAAGATTGAGTCTGTCCACCGTATTATGTAAAAACAAGAATAAGCACATGCGAATGAAAAGGAATTCGTACCCGATCATAACAAATGAAGCGTCTAGCGATTCCAACAATTCATACCATATTGTTATTAAACCTACTAACGCCGACTGCAGCCTAAAATCTGACGAATACAGATCGGAATCATATCAGATACTTATGCCACACAAACGGGATATGTTCGAACACCTCGAGAAAATTGAAGAAGATCCTTCATCGATCATTGATTGCAATATTAATCAAAATTCAAATGCCGATATAATTAAAGAAAAAATTTGCATGAATATCATTAATGATGTTACACCACCTTTGGCAATCGTTAATACAGACGTTGTTAATTCCAGTAACATTTCTTTGCCGCTATCACCAGAAATATCGATTGTAGAAAATTTGACTGTCGGTAAAGATCTCATAAACAGTGTAAATAATCAACATACTCTGAACGAAAATTATGTAAATGAAACAACAGAAGTCATAGTTCATAATAAATACTTGATATCTCACATAGACGTATCCATGCCATTAGTGCCACAGGAATCTGATATTCATAAAAAACTTCAGGGAACATTTAAATCAGACTTCACTCACAATGAAACTAAGAATTCAGTTGAATCTGAATCGTTTTTGAACAAAATAAATACTGTCAACATGGAAGAAGGCACATCATTAAGCGTTTCGTTAGATACTAGACTAAAGGAATTACTATTAGATAGTGCAAAAAAAATGTCTATAGCAGAAGAAAATACCGTTGAAGTATATCCTGGAGAAGTTATTAAAAAACCGAGATCCAGGCGTTGCTCTACGCCACGTAAAAAAAAAGAAATCAAGAAAACTAAATTGGCGATAGTGGACCCTGTTATAGAGGAAGAATGCATGGAATATTGTTCTTATGGGGGTAGAAAGTCTTGTCCACCGACTCTTGAAGTTACTGTCGACAATGCAATCAATGAAGATATTACGTTTGATAAAGAATTTATAGCCAAAGACAAATTAAAGGGAAGGAAAAAGAAAGATGTTATCAAAGTAAAAATAACAAGGCCTAAGGCCAAAATTCAAAAAGATGAAAAGAATCGAAACAAAGTTAAGAATGCCAGCCGGGCATCAATACCGATAAATTGTCAAATAAATGATAACGAATCGGGTATATCTATACATGATACGAGCGATGGTATTGATTTGATACATAATCATTCTGATACGTGCCTCCAAGCAAACGAATGCATTGGGGACAGTGTAGAGTTTCTAGAAATGACTGCAAAATCTATTATTTCTATCAATTCTAATTCAACTACATCTTGCGATTGTAAAACTCAACAACAGTTTGATTTCCACGACTGTGTAGACATATCACTGTTTTGTAACAATGCCCAAGATGGCACTAATATTCGTGCAGGTAACATGTTTCATTTACATATATATACTGATTTGAGTTTGGTATGTTTTTTAGAGTTCCAAACCAAGTCAATAAGGAACCCTTATAGTTGCGCTATATAACCGTAACTTTAGCCCTCCATTGCGCGTGGTCCGACACGCACTTGACCGTTTTTTAGTAGTGATGGAAATATTGAGACTGTTATAATTATCAATTGAACTGATCTAAACTAAGTCAATGTATTAAAATTATTCCTTTTTTTTAGCAAACGAACTTGTCAATACTGAAGCAACAAGTGACACAGTATTTCACAGCCCTAGTGACATATCATTGACTAGTCTTATAACAGAAGACTTATCTGATGAAAATCCACCACGCCCACAATCTACAAAATGGTATTTGCTCGGCGATGATGAGACCCACACAAACGCAGATCATAATCTGAATGCGTCGAATTTCGGCGCCAATCTCAAACAGTTGTTCCCTCTGACCTGTTCTGTTCCTAATCTTTCCACAATAACCGAAATGTCAAAAGAAAATGAGGACAACAGTAGAAAAACGACTTTAGAGGGATCAATATTTGATAGTAACATGAACACCTTAGATTCGCATGGAGCATTTGATATGAATTTAGTATAATTTGCAAGTATTTAATGGACGAAGAATTTATTATTATATGTAGCGGCAAAGTTTTTGAGCAAAACCAAAGTCAAATAAACTTGCGCAGTAGACGATTTTGTATGCAAAATTGCTACTACGAAGGTTTCCTTGTCTATGATCGATGCTTAAAAAATTTGCCTGGGTGTATACGAATGTTGACAATGGGCGCAGAGCGCTCATTTTTTTATCAATTTATAATGTGCATTTTATTATCTCCCGCCGTAGTTTTGCGAACCGATGGCGTAGCTTTTTGACCTTCACAAGTGCTTGTAACAGCCTAGACTGAATAAATGACATTTCATTTCATTTCATTAATAAACTTAAGAATAAATATTTTGAAAATTATTTTGGTTGTTTTTTGCAATCCCTATAGCAATTAGAGAGAGAGAACTTTCTATATCTTGCTTTATCCCATGGACGTACTTGTTCAAACAGCACAAATATTATTTAAAATAACATTTTCGAAAATTAAATTTTATTTTTTTATTTGTATTCAGGAATTGTAGGCCTCTAGAAATATTATATTGTTTTAAACTTTCATGGTCACTAACATTATAGTAATATAAGTTATTCCAGATTAGAGTAACCAGTTACTCCGTGATCATGGCGCTTGCAACAGTGCCGAAATATCGGAAACTCGCTAAAACAAAGTACATGGTAACAATCCCGTAAATAACTTATATTACTCTAGAAATATTTACCTTATAGTCTAACATAAATATGAAAAATAAAACAATTATAAATAACAAGTTTATTCGACGACGTGTAGTGCGGAGTGGCGTCAGGTAGCCTGTCTTTGAAACGCCGGAATACCACACTTATTGCCTAAAGCCCCTCTTTCAAAAAGGTCGTCAGATATTCAGTCGGCACTCTCACCACAAATGAATTAAAATTCACGTCGTGGCGAGACTCCCAAAGAAATTGGTCTACGTACGCAAGTATTCTACGATCTCCTCCGCCTTAGTGGTGTAAGTCAAGCTGGACGCAAAGCAGCATCACAGGATTCGCTGGACACTGCAGGTTATTCGGTCCAATTGGGGCGACACCGCACAGATTGCGACGAGCGGGTTTCCTTTTACTTTCTCTCCACCACGATAAAACCATCTTCGTCACATTTAGGGATCATGATTCCGCCGGAGTTTCACGAGGGATGTCTTGGCTATCCTTTTACGTTGGATGAGTGGATTTCCGCTCAGGTTGCGTGACAGTGACGGGTCGGCTAGCTACCGCAGCTGCGTAAGCGCGTTTTGGTTGCGCGCAATCGCTAAACTGTCGACGGATGCATTATGCGCCCCGCGAAGAGTGTTCACGTTAGAGGCCTCGGGGAACGGGTAACCTACTTGTCCAAGCGGTGCTACTTAATAACTCCACTTATCGATGATGTTGTTTGATTCCACCGACCACATTGGCCAGATTTGCTTTTAGGAAGTTGTTGTCCTTGAGCAACCTGATGGCATCGACGTGGTCGAACGTGACGAGAGGGAGCTTGTGTAGCTCCTTCGCTTCGCCACGCATGTAGGCACGTCATCTAAATCCAATTCTTCCAGCAGGGTGACGGCGACGGAGGGTTGCGCTGGGTCCGTTATCACCCACCAATCCGCGCCGGGCCCGTTATCTTTCACCAATCCGCACTGGGTCCGTCATCACCCACCAATCTGCGCTGGGTCCGTTATCATCCACCAATTCGCACTGGGTCCGTTATCACCCACCAATCCGCACTGGGTCCATTGTCACCCACCAATACGTGCTGGGTTCGTTATCACCCACCAATCCGCCTGGGTCAATTATCACCCACCAATCCACACTGGGTCCGCTACCATCCTCCAACGCGCGCTGGGTCCGCTATCATCCTCCAATCCGCACTGGATCTGTTATCACCCACCAATCCGCGCTGTGTCCGTTATCACCCACCAATCCGCGCTGGGTCCGTTATCACCCACCAATCCGCGCTGGGTCCGTTATCACCCACCAAGCACTATTATAGATTCATGTATTTTGTGACGGGTATTATTCATTGTTTACCGATGAGTCACCGGTGCGCGTGTAACGCAAAAATCGTAATACATTTTATTTTATTTATTTATTTGATTAGGTACACATACATCAATACATATCATACATTACAAAATTATTAATAACATTAATATAATTATTTTATGCTTGCCACTTACGAGTGTACACAACATTCAATATAAAAATGACAGTCTTTTAACTAAATTAAAATAAAAAACAAAACAATTAAATTAGAGTAAGATTTAAATAAAAATGAATTAATAAATTAAATAAGATTAGTGAATTAAAATTCATATTAAAGAGGCTGAGATGGAATTCAGCAGCTTATGTCGGAAGTGGTTTTGACTATCGAGAAATATGTAAAATGTCTCCAAATTTGTCATTCGTGTCATTATTTATGTGGAACAAATTCTAGAGTGAGGATGATGTAAGCCCAGATTAGTTCTACATCGAGGCAGAATGAAAGGGATCTGCCCTCGGAGCACGGATCTCCTAAATCAATCGCCATGTATATCATTGACCGCTAGGTTAATGATGTATAGTGCGATTCAAAATAAGAATAGGAAAGCCAATGACCTCCAGCTGTCAAATGTCACTTGAAAAGTACGGTTTGCAAAAAAATCTTGGAACCCCACCAAACATTTGTAAACAACAATAACAAATATTGATAATTAATATTGGTTGATATTTTCTTTGGCTATGAATGGTTGATAATCTAAATCGTCAACCAAATGTCACTTTAAGTTGCGTTCAGAAACTCGATTTAAAACTTTCGTTTATGGATGCATGTTCGTATGTGACCCAGTAATAGTGCATGATTATTCATAAGTACTCCGGCGGTAATGCAGAGATGAGCGGAATCGAAGAGCTAGATTCTGATTAATGTTTTTCCCACACAGTCTTAGTTAATATAGAAATATTATTAAAAATTGGTTGTTTTTTTTCTCAATCTTAGTAAATAAATTTTATTCAAAAAACCTCGTTTTTTTACTTAAACTTAATTTTAGTTAATAAGTTATTAAATAAAAACTTTTTTTTGCTCACTTTATTTGGTTTGAAGTGACAGCTCTGACGTCACAATATGGCGCCCAGTCGGTCCTATTCTTAGTTGAATCGCATTATACATTCAATAGCTATTCGTAGACAAATAATTTCTGTGACAGCATGAGCATGGATCTAAGAACTATTAAATCCTGAATGATGAAGAATAAGATGGTTGAACTTCCAGATTTGGGTGTAGGGATCCACGTCTGAGTGAGAGTGAGGTAATCATTTTTTTGTTGAGTGGGGTAATACGAGTAAATAGATACGACCAAAAATACTATTTAGATCATATTGTGTTCGCAAAGTTATTATAATAATTAATATATTAATAAAAAATATTTAAAACAGCTGAATTCTACGATTCGCCGTATTATTAAAAATGTGAAGAACTTCGTTCAGATCAACTGATTGTTCTTTTTTTTTCAAAGGCCGGAAATATCATACCAGCCATTCTCTCGTGACCCATTGACAATCTTCGAGGCCTATTAATTGCAGTAAAAGTTGAAAACGTATTGATAGAAATAACAATTATATTGATTTTTGAGTAAAACACTCTTTACCATGCACTTCACTTAACCAAAATACAAACAATCTTTAGTTAAGAGCTCGCTGGGCTCGCGCGTTATGGTCACAACACTAACCTAACTTAATGTGAAGTATCACCACTTGGGCCCTGGAAGTACAGTTTAGCCGATTAAAATCTTTGATATGTGTATTATATTCGAAAAATACCGTATTTTTAAAGGTATAAAACCTATTCACCACTTTAAACTTGTTTAAAAAATGCATTTACGTAGGTTGCATAAGCATTGTTCGAAAGTTCAAAATTACGAGACATCCAACAGACGGAGCTTACGAACTTATTTTGACAGTTGGTGATACCGTTGACACGCACGAGGAGGCTAAAGAGCGAGATGTAACATTGTAACCATGAGAGTGAATGAGATTACTTTAGTGCGCTCTATTGGCGGCTGTTTCCAAGTTGGGACGGGGACCAATTTTTGCCATTTTAAAATGCAATAATGTTGGCGTATAACCTGTCTATATAATACGTCATTGATCACAAAAATGTATTTGATTGTGGTACTGATATTATATTATACCAATGACATTTAATATTGTATGCCATTGCATTCGGAGCGTAGATTTTAAACGAGCCCTGTAAACTCACGGTTACGTTCAAAACTCTGAATAAGGATCTTAGCCTCTCGAGCGCCCGGCCACCGTTTCACGGTGGACTGTTTTACCCGCGATAAGCGCACGTCCACCGTTATATGCGCTTACCACACGCACAAGCTTCACCACAGTTTGGCCTGCGCAAGCATCTCGCACGAAAAAACTGTACACTTTGTGCGTTACCACACGGCACAGTTAAGTACGCGCAAGCCTCATTCTTATCGAAATCATTGGCGTGGAAACAATGTTTCCTAATGAAGAAACATTTCTTATGCTACTATTTTTCAAGTGTTTGCTATGAAAAAACATGTAAAAACAATACGATATGTACATAATATGTGCAAGTAGGTAGGTAGTAGGTATTAGGCATAGGTATTTAGTTGCAAAAATTATGTTCTTACCTCTTTCATTTTATTTATCATTCTTTCGTAGGCGTCGTTCTTTTTATTTCGGTCGGAATAATCTTTAGATTTAATTTTCCAGAGAGCAGGCAGAGATTTGTATAAACTAATTAATTCAGACGTGAATTCGCGATTGTACGTACGCAAATCTGCCATTTTTCAGTGACGATGACGAACGACCTCATGAAACGACGAGCGAGCCTCGACACAAAGTACACTCGACTGTGGCTTGAACACTGAACGCCCAACCACACGCACAGACAAGTACGCGCAGGCCGGGCTTGCGCAGACAAAATTTCAAGCAAGTCGAAAAGTGCGCAGGCCGCGCTGTGGGGTTGGCGCGTGATACAGTTTTACCAACTACACGCACCGTGTTCCGTGTACAAACCGGCCTGCGCAGGCAAAGCTGTGGTGAAGCTAGGGACACGATATCGAATAGAAAGTATCGATACTGTACTCATGAGTAGTATCGGTAAAAAAGTATCGTACTCGTCAAAGTATCGAAACAAAAGTATCGTTACTTCAAAGTATCGAGTACATTTCATAGGGCCTTATCGGAGCCTCTGTGGCCTGATGAGCAAACCCCCCCCCTCCCAACCCCAAGCCCCCGGTGTTAAAATTGAAAGAAAAACAATCGAATTTTATTTGTTTGTAC